GGCTCCGTCTGCGGGGTTCTCCGGAGAGGGCAGCGGTGTGGGCTCTCCAGGCCCGTCCTTTCAGGCAACTTTTTCCTTCCTTCCTTCCTCTCTCTCCTTTCTGTCTTTGCTGCTGTTCCCGTGTTCCAGACGGAGCTGCGTGGCTCACAGAGCACCGTAGTGGGGTGGTTTGGGGCGGAAATAAGAGCTGGGCGGACCTTAGTAGGAATTGTTGCTGTCTCTGCTTGTTCTGATTTCATGGGCAGTGCTGTCACTTAAGACCCCCTTTGCTTTGGACACGATGTTGTGTCAAAAAGCATAAATGGGAGTGCCCTGGGGGTACCTGGGGCCACTGACCTATCTGCCTTCTGACTTCAGTACGAATGAGGTTTTGATTGTTGGAGAAACACTGAGTTTCTGGGGTGTGTTTGGTGGGAAGTAGGGTAGAAATTACGCACTCCCAATCCGGGAATGGAGGAGTCTGCTTTAGTTTTGTCGGAAACCAAAGACCAGAGGAGACCGTCCCTTAACTTGTAATCTAACGCACAGATGGAGCCTCACACCCCATTTGTGATGTCATCTCCCCAGCAAGGAAAGCGGACGTGTCCTCGTTTGCAGGGACAGCCAGGCCACATTCAGGCCTTCCCAGAGGCAGGCACTCACTCTTCTCTCGCTCGGCGGTGCATGTGGAGTTCCCTGCGGATACCCAGAGCCAGTTAGCTTATTGGGGTACATCAGTGACGAAAGCAGGTTTCCTCTCCAAGGACTTGTGTATTAGTGGGGAGGATGGCAGATGCTTCCGCACAAGACCGTGGTCAGAAGGGGGCCAGCGTGGACACCAGGCGCAGCCAGAACCCGGCTGTCAAGGGCAGGTTGCCCCAGGGCGGGCGTGATTGGACAGGCGGCTTGCAGTTTGGAGAGGGACGCCCACTTTCAGTTGTTTCCAGACCAGCTTCTCCTCTTTTGCTCCCCAGAAGCTGCTGAGGCAGAAATCTGGGCAGCACCTTCCAATCCCTTGCCCCTCCCCCACATTCCTGAAATGTGAGTCCAGCGAGTCCTAGTCCCGGACACGCGCCAGGCGGCTCCTCCTCCCGGGCCACCATCTGGTCTAGACTAGGGGCTCCGACTCCCCGGGCTTTCACAAACACCAGGAAGCATGGCACGCCCAAGCCAGAGGCTGGTCGTCCCCCACCAGGCCTGCTTCTCCCTGTAGCTCAGGCATCCACCCAGCAGGGACCCAGACATCGCCTTTAAGGTGCCTCGTTTCCCACTCTCCACACCCCTCGTCCTGTTGCTTCAGCTCCTGAGAAGCTTCTGTCCTCTCGGGTGTTTCCCGGACACTGACGGCCCCGCCACTGTCACTTGTCTGCCGGGTGCGGCAGCCCACGGCCTTCCTGCTGCGGCTCCTTGGCCCGCCTCGCCTCTGCCACGGCGCCCAGCAGCCAGTGGTCTTTCCAGAGTGCAGCTACAGCCCCCGCCCCAGCCCCGCGCTGCCTTCAGGGTAGAGCCAGGACCTTGCGCTGGCCTCCGGGGCCTCCGGCCCCTCTTCCCTGGCAGGCTGCAGCTGTCGGGGCTTCAGGCCTGTGTTGATGTCATCCTTGCCGCCCGGCAGCCCTGCCCCCAGTTCCGGGGATGCGCCCTTCATGCAGCTCAGGCGCCCTCCCCCGAGGGCCTCCTCGATACTCCTCGGCACCCGATGACCCCTGGGTCATATGCAGCTGTGCTGACTGGCTCACTTATTTATTTATTATTTCTTCACACAGAGGTGGGGCACAGGCCAGAGGCTCAGGGGCGGTGAGAGCTTCACCAGAGACAGAGCGGGGAGCAGAACAGGCCGACTGACAAAGTCCACTGCTGAGGGGAGCAGCGGGCAGTCAGGAGGGGTCTGCCGCGCCCTGGGGGTCCCTCCTTGGCTGGGAGTTGAACTCGTGCCGAAGTGGCCTTAGCTTCTTAGTGCTGCGCTTTAACCCGCTGCGCCACCAGGGAGGGCCCAGTCTCATTTAGTTTTAATGCCTTTTTTATTGTTTTAAAGATTTTATTCATTTTGAGTAGAAGAATGGGTGCAGGCCGGAGGTACAGGGCGGGGGGCTCAGAGGATGCACTAGAGACAGTGGGGAGCAGAAAAAGCGGATCTGCCGGAGTAATGTACTGCATGAACGGAGCTTTTCTGGTGTTAATCTGGTCCTCTTCACCCCGTTTCTGCGCCTGACACCTCTCCCTTCAGTCTCCTCAGCGTGCTGCAGTCACCTGTTTCGTCTCGTGTCTTGAGGCTTTCCTCCTTCCTTCCAGATCTCTAAGGTCCGGCTTCCTAGAATATACCGCGCTCTCCAACTGCCAACCTCTGTTCTCTGCTTGGAAAGCTCCATCTGGCTCATTCCTGCCTAAGGCTCGCTCAGGTCATGTCTTCTGGGAAGGTTTCCAGCTCCCCGAAGCCTCACTGGTGGTGGGGCGGTGCACAGCCCAGCGCCAGCGTCACCCTGCCCGGCCTCTGCTGACTTCTGACTGTGTTGGGCAGAGTGGTTGAAGATTAGCCCGGAGGGGACGTTGCCATTGTAGCATGCAGAGGAACGGGCTTGGGTGAGCTGAGGTGACAGCAGCTGAAAGCCAGGTGTGGACTTTGGGTCCCGACAGTGTCCTCCAGGGCCTGCGGGCCCAGGACGCCCAGGTTCGTCCCTAACTTCCATTTCTCCTCCTTCCTCTCTCAGGGGGGCATGTTACCATCACTGACCTGCCCCTGGCCCTAGACCAGATCCAGGCCAACGTCCAGGCCAACGTGCCGGCCGGATGCCGGGCCCAGGTCTGCGCCCTGTCCTGGGGGGTTGACCAGCACGTCTTCCCTGGAGACTATGACCTGGTGCTGGGGGCTGATATCGTGTACCTGGAGCCCACCTTCCCGCTGCTGCTGGGGACCCTGCAGCACCTGTGCGGGCCCCGGGGCACCGTCTATCTGGCCTCCAAGATGCGAGAGGAGCATGGCACACAAAGCTTCTTTCAGCACCTCCTGCCCCAGCATTTCCAAGTGGAGCTGGCCCAGCGGGACGAGGAGGAGAACGTCAACATCTATAGGGCCAGGCACAGGGAGCTGAGACCTGCTTGACGTCGCCGTCAGCGCTTCCGGACCCCTGTCCCCCTGAGGGGAGCGTCCTGTCTCCAAAAGAAAACGCAGGACAAGAAGGATGGATTTCCCTGGTCTCTCTCTTTCCGCCTTTTTGGCCTCCTCCCCCCGAGCCCTCCTCGCTTGGGCAGGAGGGTGGCACCCACTTGCCCGAGAACGCTGGCAGCTGTGGATTAGAGCACAAAGGAAGGTGGAGGGCACCCAGAGTTTTTAGGGATGGGGAGGTCAGAGCGGCGGTGGGGCAAGGCCGTCACCGGGCACTTCCATGCTGCTCTGTTCAGCTCCCACCGTGGGGTTTGTTCTTGGGTGTGCACCAGGTTCTAACGGGCTTCTTTTTAAGGGGAAGAAATTGGCATTGGAAATCGCACTGAGGAGGAAGGCCACCTCCTAGCGCCCGGGTCCGCTGGGCCCAGCTCTGCCCCGGCTTGGAGTCCTGCGCCACACGACTGGGCTCTTCTCTTGCGCTCTGCTCTTCGGTTGTCTGTCTCGAGCCCTGTGGGCACTTCCTTCCTGGTGGGTTTGCCTCGGGGCCTCACTCTTCCTACAGGGGAGGAACCCTGGCTCCCTGGGAGAGCCGCTGCAGCCGCGTTGCAGACTCTTCCGCTCAGTCAGAGCTTCTGATGAGCTGATGAGCTTCTGCGCCGCGGTGCCACCGGCCCACCCCGTGGGACCCCTCCTGCTCTTCCTCTCCAGCTGGCTTCTGTATGTGCTGCAGCCCCTGGCCAGTCTGTGCCACGAGCCCTGACTTCTTTCTTTCTTCATCCCTCCTGATGGTCCCCTTTCTGGAAGGGGCTGTTTCACCTGTCAAAATCTTCACTGCGCTTTGCCTCTTCCCTGAACTTCCTGCGTGGATGTGATTTCTTTCTCCCTTAAGATGGTTTGTCCATCTTCTGGGACTTACCTGTCTTGTGTGGCCCTTTGTATGCTCCTTATTTTTCTCCCCGTTCCGTTATCTTGGAGAATAGAGCTGTCGTTCACTGGTCTCTGATTCCCGGACCGAGGGCCGTTCCTGGCAGTCAGTGGATGCACTTGGCTTGTCCAGCAAATACTTACTTGGCTTGTTGAAGGGACTCCATCCCTGCCTCTCTAGGCGGCCTTGTCCAATTTCTGGCCTTGTCCAATTTCTGAATCCACCTTTCTACCTCACCAGTTTGTCCTGAGTCAGATGGATAAAGAATATGAGAGCATTGGAAATAAACTGTTACCAGCTGTCCCGTATGATTATGGTGTGACGACTTTATCTCATGGTTTCCGTTTGCCCTCAATCTCCCTTAGGTCATAAAGGAACATAAAACCTTTATCATAGGTTTTATTACTGGGGGGAAGGCCTGTGGTAGGGGGGATCCCCCTGTGCAAAGCCGCCTTCATAAACCCGGCCTGGCGGCGGCGAACGCGCCCCTCCAGCCAGCAGAGGGCGCTG